TAAACGTGTATGTAAATAATAGTTAATGCATTTTATGAAAAGGACTCCAGGAAGAATAGCGATGTGTCATCACTAATGGAGCTTCCTAAATAAACAAACAAACAATGGGCCTAAATTCCCCTCCTAGCTCTGATTGGCGGATGTTTTTCCGCCAATGAGATATAGGAGGTTACCACGTAATCTTATCTTTCAAATAGCTCTGTTAGCATTTAATTTAACATTTTAATGTCTTGGGGTGGTGGGACTACGGCGCACAGATATGTCAACTTTGTATATTTAAATGTTAATTGTACCTTTTTGTTGTGTGGTGCTGTTAATATAAGTTGTTAACTTGAGTGCAGAGCCACACTGTCCTTGTTCTGTTTTTATGTTTTGATGAATAAAAAAAATAAACAAACAAACAAACAAACCCGAGCCTTGCAGCCGCTTCACCACCAGAGGGCCGATTCCGAAGATTATGGCGATGGCCCTGACTGCCACGATTCCGACAAAGACACGCTTCGTGGTGACTTCCCCGTTGTAGTGTAGTGGCTTGCAGATGAAGTAGTACAACTCCACGGCCATGAAGAGGTACGTGCCGAACATGGATATGGTGAACGGGTGGACCACCAGCACTTGGACCTCGCAGAACCGCTGGTCGTTGGCGTCGTCTTCGCTGAATAGGAAGCAGACCTGTAAATATTGAATATCATCATCATCATCATCTTCAATACTGCTTAGCCCTCTAAAAAGAAGATTACTAGCAGCTGCGCATTAGTGACTGTGTGCAAACTGCCAACAAAGGGTAGGGTAGGGGTGGACGTGGACAAGTGCAAGGACAGGACAAGTGAAATCAGTGGTGCTAGTGTTACACGTATTTACATATGTACAAGGACCGGGAAGCAGCACAATGCAGCGAAGCCCGTCCCAGCTCTGCTTTGAACTGGGAGATGGACTTCACCTCCGCCACACTGGGCTCAAGTTCATTCCACTCCCTGATGGTGCGAGGGAAGAACGAGAGCCTGCAATAGTTGTTCTTACTCGCGATGGTCTGCAGCTTTTAAGCTCTAATATTATATATTAGAATGACCTCTGGCCTCCTACCATACTGAGTTATATTGTTACTTTTTTGTACATACTGTCATCAGCCTAGGTTATGGATTGTAGCGTATGAGAAATTTTTGTGATTTGTGACTTTATTGTGTTATGATGTGTGTATGTATTTCATAATGTGGGGCCCGACATCAGCTCAGATGCCAGGGCTTCCACTGTATTGCATTGTATTGTTGGCAATTTAGATAAAATAAAATGAAATGAAATGAAATTAAATGAAATAAAATTGAATAAAATTGAATAAAATTAAATAAAATAAGCAGACCTCGGTTGTGATGATGCAGGTTGTGAAGATGATGTCGTCTACCGCCAGGTTGCACCGCAGGTAGTGTCGTGGCTTCCGGAGATACTCCTTCTTGCAGACCAGGTAGATGAGAAGCAGGCCGCAACCGACGGCCACCACCAGGCTGAGGACGAATTTTTTTACACTGTTTATTCAAATCATGGAGACAAGTACATGTACATATACATACACAGCTACTTTTAACAATAACCTTTACAGCCATATCCCCAATACACACGGACCAATCACAAAGACAGACACTAAAAAATGATGTCTAAATCGCTTAGACACAACAGGTTTTTAGACTGCCATAGATATCATAGATGAAGTTTCTTGACATTTTTTTAGAATGAAGCTTAAATCTCCATGTACAATAAAGGTTTGTTTATAATATATAAATATATAAATACTCATGTTAAACATGTTCACTTCAAGAGTCCTAAGGAGACATTAATTTCAGATATTTTCAGATTTCAGTAATGTGATGAATACCTGAGCACGAGATACGCCATCTGGAGTCCGCGAGACAGTCCACTGTTTAACACCTCCAGACTTCGGAACGCGTTGTACATGCTGTCAAAACCAGCGCTCGCTTTAGCTTCCATGGTTCTGGATAAACACGCTAACGACGTGAAAAAGAGTCTGCTTCGTGAGTACACGAGGTGCGAAGCTTAAAACACCTCACTACGGAACGAGTTGTACATGCTGTCAAAGCCAACACTCCTCGCTTCTTCATCCATGGTTCAGGATAAACGCGCGAACGACGTGAAAAAGAGTCTGCTTTTGAATTACCTTCGTGCGCAGCTTAAAACACCAGACTACGGAACGCGTACATGCTGTCAAATACACCACTCGCTTCTTCCTCCATGGCTCAGGCCGGATACGCTCACCGACGATGAGAAAACACTAGCCTCCACCAGGCCTTTCTACGGGAATACGGATCGTAGAATTCGGCAAAAAAGAGAGTAAAATTGGCCAGGGGAGTCCGGCCGCGGGAAGGTAGTTTCTTTCCCTCCGAGCTGCGCGGCCAGTCAAGCCTACAAGGTGGCCAAACTCCACTGGCAAATATTCTCCTGATACGCTCACCGACGATGAGAAAACATAACCTCCACCAGGCCTTTCTACAGGAATACGGATCGTAGAATTCGTTTCTTTCCCTCCGAACTGCGCGGCCAGTCAACCTACAAGGCGGCCAAACTCCCCGGCAAATATTCTCCTGTATATAGCCAGCGTAGTTAGTCTGGTAGAGACTAGAGAAAACCTGTGTGAAACAGAAATTTCCCGTCCGCTCTATCAGGAAATACAAGCCGAAGAAAGCACCACCCGGTGCTAGCTAGCGCAGAGCGAAAATGCAATACTCTCTTTACTGTTGTTTGATGACGACAGTTGCTATAGGAGACGTAGCGTTTCAAAAATGTCCCGCAGCGTCAATTAACGATTTTGACATCATACGGAGAGAGTGTTGGCAATAACAGGATGTGAATGTATTACTGCTATTGAGGTGATTGAATTATTTGGTGTTATATTATTATCATATTAACGTTCAGCCTGCTAAGGTAGCCGTTTGGCACCATATTTGGTTAAGTTAATGGGTTTGAAGCTTAAGTTTGAAGGTTAAAGGAAGTTGCGAAATTATATTTCCGTTGCAAAGTGACAGTTAATCAAGCAACTAGCTAGCTGGATAGATTTCATTTTCATTTTATTTTATTTACCCCTGAGAAAACAAGGGCGTTTTTCAATGTTCCCTGCGGACATACATTTACAAAATATACTTAAGTAACAAACAAGAAAACAAAGATACAAAATAACTTAATTACAATAATAACATGTTGGTAAAAGTGCTTCAAAATCATACGGCAAACTAATGACTTATATGAAACAAGCGAATAAATATAACAAATGAAATAAATAAAGAAGGCAATGGAAATTTGCATATCAATGTTACGAAACAAAAGTAACAGTTACTATGTTGCGAGAACATTCTGGTTATGCAAACGCTTAAGCGAGATGTTGCAAACGGTCAGACGTTTCAGGTAGCATCCACTTCTTTTCGTCAGTAATGAAAGATTTGTAGCCAGCAGGTATACATTAAAAAACTCTGAATTGATATGTAAATGAGCTCGAGGTGAAGACAAATTTTAGACAAATTTTTAACAACAGAAAATAAAAAGCATGAAAGTTCATCTGTGTTGGTACAAGTCATTATGAAATAAAGACTAAGCTTTAACATCCAACACTAACTAACAAAGTATAGGGACTTACCCCAAATTTTCGGTTGACTGCATCAACCTTGTTCACGGAATGGACCCGTCTACACTTGGAACATGACGCCAGGAACACGTGACCGTAGTAGCGTACGTGCCAGATAACTTGTGTCGCCCCCCCGTCTCTGTTCAGGGTAGGTCCTAGGTCTATGTGCTCTTATGTAGACCGCCTCCTTCACTCCTCTTGCAAAGAAGTCCGCTTCAGAGTCGAGGATTTTTACCCCTTCTATTAAAAGATACAGAGTGTCTGTGTTTATTCAGCTGTGACCTTTTAAATATTTCCCTCACCTCTTCCGCCAGCGTCTCCGGATTTAGTACAGTTTCCACATCAGGCGATCTTTTTCCTTGTTCAAGATTTCCAATTTGTGCACAGTTTGGCTTATCCTAACATTAAGGAGTTGTCTCTCCACTCGTTTTAGAATCTCAGTAGCTTTGTTTCCTTGAACGGTACTAGACAAGCGTAAACTCACCGGCGTCACGTTGTAATGTTTGCAATGGAGGTTGAAACGTAGGTGGTTCTTGTACCGTGCGATCTTCTTGCACGTTCTTTCCAAGTTTCTGATAATGTCCAAGCAATCCTTGCCAAAGTCGTTCTTTAACTTAGCACGAAAGTTCATCTGTCTTGGTACAAGTCATTATGAAATAAAGACTAAGCTTAACTTCCAGCACTAACTAACAAAGTATAGGGACTTACCCCAAATTTTCGGTTGACTCCATAAGTTCTTCACGGAATGGACCAGTCTACTCTTGGAACGTGACGCCAGAGACACGTGACCGTAGTAGCAAAGTCAAGTTCATGAGTCGGTTATAATTAGCTACTGCTGTCTCGCGTTGCAGGACACGCCGTGCCTTTATCATCTGGATGATATCACCGTAGATGTATAGTACGGATTGATACTACTCCAGAATAGGTTGGATTGTTTTTTTTTTTTCACTGAAAATTTCAGAGACCTGTGATGTTGGAAAGTACTGAATTGTTGGCGTTGAAAGTGGGGAAAGATGTAAGAGAAATTAAAATTATCTTAGTGATGAGATGTAGTAACAAAAGTAGCTTTCGGGTTAACGTTACGAATATAGATGTTTGAGCCAAAAAACAGTTACTCAAGCAACTGGATATGATTTTGAAAACGTCAGACGTTTCAGCTAGTATCCACTAGCTTTCGTCAGTGACTGAGAGACCAGAGGGGAAAGCAGGTTTATATACACAACCTGTTGATTGATATGCAAATAAAGTGAAGACAAATTTTTTGGAAGTCGAAAAAGGAACAAAAGTCAGACAAGTCAAGACAAGATGATGCAAATTAGTCTGAAAGCTAATAGATGTTTGAGACATTTTATAATTTTTTCCTGTTGCATTTCAGTGAGAGTGTTGCATGAGCAGGCTGGAGAAGGTATGTGCTTTGCTTGTTTTTAGCCTGTGTTAGACCAGATTGTTAGTTTTGTCGATAAGTTCTTTAATGTGCTTGAAGTGTGTCTGAGGACTGTAATGTGCTTGAGACTTGGCTAAGATCTTTAATGTGCTTGAGGTGTGGCTAAGATCTTTAATGTGCTTGAAGTGTGGCTAAGATCTTTAATGTGCTTGAAGTGTGGCTGAGATCTGTAATGTGCTTGAGACTTGGCTAAGATCTTTAATGTGCTTGAGGTGTGGCTAAGATCTTTAATGTGCTTGAGGTGTGGCTAAGATCTTTAATGTGCTTGAGGTGTGGCTAAGATCTTTAATGTGCTTGAAGTGTGTCTGAGATCTGTAATGTGCTTGAGACTTGGCTAAGATCTGTAATGTGCTTGAGGTGTGGCTAAGATCTTTAATGTGCTTGAGGTGTGGCTAAGATCTTTAATGTGCTTGAGGTGTGGCTAAGATCTGTAATGTGCTTGAAGTGTGGCTGAGATCTGTAATGTGCTTGAGGTGTGGCTGAGATTTGATTTCTTATTTGCGCCAGACGACGGCCCACAAACGGAGACGACAGAGACAGAGCCCGGAGAGCTGGGACAAATCGTCGTGAAGTAAGGGAAACTTTTTTTTAATCTCAGACCTCCTTATGCTTAGGTCACATTTCCAAACCGGGGCCCGACCGGGCAGTTTCGATTAATGAAAAATCAACAATTTACTGATAAACCAAATCTGATGTTTAGCTTGTTTCGATTTTGTATATTTGTTTATTTGTCCATGTAAGCAGGTGTAGATGGCGCCGTTAATATAAGTTCCATGGAACTTTAGTTCGACGTCATCTTGTATGTTTTTATGTTTTTGCTGTTCAAAAAAATCTGATGAAAGTTCTAGGTTTCTGCTGACGACGTTGTCCAAATCTAACAGGAAGTAAACACAATATGAACTGTATTTATGGGGGAACCCCGCGATAAACCTGCGGACAGAAAATTAAACACGTACATAAATAAACAACTGTTTAGTGGGGTCGTGTGGCGTAGCGGCAGAGTACTCGACTCGGAACCCAAAGGTCACGTGTTCGAGTCCTGACATGCCACCGATCTTGTGCCCTTGGGAAAGCTAGGCACTTTACACGACTTTCCTCACTTAACTCAAGTGAAAATGAGTATTGTTGTGTTCCGTATTTGTTCTGTGCGTTGGTGACGTATAAAAGAAGATATAACTTGAGTGTGCCGTCACCATGTCTAGTCATGAAATGTTGGAATATATAATAAAAAAACAAACTGTCCCAGGCTGCCTCTGCCGCCGGGTGCCTTCTCCACCCTCTGGGAGCACGACGAGTTCTTTAAGGAGCTGTACTTCTCAAGATTCCCAGTAAGTCTGAACAAGCAATTTCTTAAAGAATTGTCATTCTTAATACCTCAATCAATGATCTAGACGTCCCGTTTTTAATTGGGGGGGGGGTATAAACTAAATCCAAAAGAGGTAAAACCAGAGAGGAGAAACAAAAGTTTTAACTATTTTTTTCAAGTTCTTCAATTTCTTTTTTAAAAAACTTTTTCAACGGTACAGAGACTTAGACTTAGACTTCTCTGTAATATGAAAGCAGGTACTTTCTATCAAGTCATGTTGATCATGCTATCAACTTCTTAAATGCTGTTCCGTCAACATTTCTCGGGTGGCGAAGTTATTGTGAGATGTATGTATCTTTGAAAGAAATTTCTCGAAATTTATAACCATGATTTTAGTCCACTAAAAACTGTCACTTATTAGTCAGTTTGTTGTTTTTTTAGGGTTTTTATGACACAATGGATGCTGGGATACGTGATGAGAAGGGATACATCTACGTCATGTCACGTGCTGATGACGTCATCAACGTGGCCGGGCATCGGCTGTCATCTGGATCCTTGGAAGAAGTTAGTGAAAGTCTTAAGTTTTTTTAAAACGAATAAGAATGAAAATGGTGAAAGTTCGGCTATCCTCTCAAGTTTTCAGAGGATGGTGGGGAAGTTCTAGTTATCGGGAAAGATGATTTAGCAACAGAAATATCATTTTGAAAATTGTGTTGCAAATTGGCCACTCCGTTTATACCAATGCATCTTTTTGAGCCAATGCCGAAACGACAAACCTGCTGGGTAAGTTAAAACTTTCTCTGATTCTGTTCTTTAAATGTCACATTAACGTTGAGGAAAGACCCATTCCAATAAACAATATTTCCCTTAACATGGAATCTACCTCTGACAAGGCATTGACTGGACTGGACTGTCCTGCTTTGTTGTTCACACGATGTTGTGACGACGTTATCTGATTTAAGCTGTTTACCACTTCAAACTGCGACCCTCCGTCACAGCTAAATCTGTTACTTGGCGACGCAAATTAGTTTAAGCCCGAGGACTTTATTATCCTTTCTGATGTGGGCGCCGCAGATCTATGACTTTATTTGAATGGTAATTTTCTCATTAAGATTGTACTCAGGATATTAATAATTATACAGGTGAATGCCCGATATGCCATTCGGGTCGTGGGTTGATCATCCGTAGTGTATCGGACACGGTGTTGGAGGGTAGAAAACCACCCCTCTCCTTCTGTTGGGGACCGATCTTTCTCTGATCTTGTTTTTTTTAATGTGACTTGAAAGGCCCTATACAAGGACAAACTACTTTATGTAAATTATGCAAATTCAATCCTGATTTCAGTCCTGATATCATTGTATTACGTTCTACCTTTGGTTCTACGTTATATGATGTTTAGGTTACAATATTGTTTCTCTTATTTAGGTAGTATGATCTTATGTATCATGTATGTTACTTAAGTTCTTCCGCCGCTTTGTACCTCCCCAGCCAAAGTCATGTACCGATTTTACACCTGGGTGGAGTGAGGAAAGTCGTTCCTCAGACATGACCCCTCCTTAAGACAATGTTTGTGCGTCCCTCAGGCGATCCTGGAGCACCCTGACCTTGCTGACTGCGCTGTGGTGGGACTGGAGGATTCTCTTAAGGGCCACGTGCCGCTCGGACTGTGTGTTCTTAAGACAGGTAACGTTCATCTTAAGATTCGGCCTGTGTGTTCTTAAGACAGGTAACCTTAATCTCAAGACTCGGACTGTGTGTTCGTAAGACAGGTAACATCGATCTTAACACTCAAACCGTGTGTTCGTAAGACGGATAACGTTAATCTTTTAAAAGACTTGCTTCTTCGGTTGGGTCCTTAACACAACAAGTGGTCTGTTTCTCGGTGAAACTAAATGCTTTAATATGTAAGGTTCCCTTCTTAAATGCTGTACCACTCTAGGAGACATTTTAGAATAAAACTAAGAAAGACGTCAAGATTAAAAGAGAGACCGGGAAGTCAAATATGTATCTGGCCAAGTGTTCAGTAAAGAGTATAGAGTGGGGATACTGACAGACAAACCTGGATAAAAGAGATCACCCAGCCTGCCAGTCGAAATGGGGTGATGCAAAAGAAGAAGAAACTTTAGCACAGACAGTAGTCATTACTTTCACATGCCTTACACCCTGCTCCTTCAGGTGTGACTAAACCCGAAGACGTAGTTCTTGAGGAGGTGGTTGCCATGGTGAGGAAGACGGTGGGCCCGGTGGCCGCCTTTAAGAAAGCGGTGGCCGTGAAGAGACTGCCCAAGACGCGGTCCGGGAAGATCGCCAGATCCAGCATCGCTAAGATGATCAACGGGAAACCTTATAAGGTAAAACCGACATGTTTTATCATTATGGTCATTTAAAAGAAATGTTTAGTTTGCCCCTGTCTTCGCTAGTATGGATCGTGTGAAGTTTAGAATTTGTGGACGATGATTGTCATTAACATTTTGCATTTCAAGATTGCGTCTTTCATTTTTGTACAAAGAGATTGTACCAGAGTTTCCTTTTTGCTGTAAAAGATTTAAATGACTGACTGGTGTATTGTCGGTTTGTGGCAGGTCTCTCAATGGCAAAGCAACAATGGATTATTCTTAGCATATGGATTTTTCTTATGGGCATCTGGAATTCGGAAATGAGTCGATTTACTACATATATATATGCAGCTCAGCGATGGTTTGCCAGGGGGTGCTTTTGTCTTGGTGTTGGCTGCTTTGCTCTGTAATAATGACAAATGCTGAGGGCTCTTTTCCCCTGGATGATGCAGTACCAATGAGCAACCGAAAAGATTCGTGTAACCGTTTATTGATGCAAAAGTGTACAAAACGTTTGCTAAAATACGACTTCAAATTTTTTGTAACCCATCGGTGTCTTGCCGGTCGCATCCTCTAACGGAAAAGGGGTGTAATACTCTACGTCGGTAAAGGTTAGACATCAATAGAAGGCAATAAGTTAAAGATACGCCAAACAGTTACTCAAGCAACTGGATATGATTTTGGAAACGGTCAGACGTTTCAGCTAGTATCCACTAGCTTTCGTCAGTGACACTGGAAAAGGGTAGTGGATGCTACCTGAAACGTCTGACCGTTTCCAAAATCATATCCAGTTGGCCTTGGTTGCTTGTGTAACTGTTGTTGCCGTATATTTACCGTTTTATTGCCACGTAAAAATGAAAAATATCCTTCAGATTCCGGTGACTATCGAGGATGCCGCTGTTTACGATGAGCTCGAAGAGCTGTTTGCCAAGGCCGACATTCGCAAGAAATAACCAACCAATCAACTAATCAACGTAACCACTGGTAGCGTGGTTAGTAATTATGGAAATCAATGAGTTAGTTAGTTAGTGAGTTAACAGAAAGCATACAGGAAGTGTTTTTTGTTCCTGTGTGATTCTTCGTTGATCAATGATTTTTTTTCTTCAATTTTTTTCTTCAATTTTTTTCTTGCTGTGCCACAAGCAGAGCTTTCGGTCGGGGGTTACTACTTTTTTTGCGGCCTTTTCTACAGTTCTGTTTTTTTCTATAGCAGTGGTCGCTAATTCTTACATTCCCCTCCTCTCACAATTAGGGAAACATACAATAGTAGAGAAGTTCGAGAAAAACTAACAAACAGTTTAGTAACAAACATGTTTAGAGTTAAAACTTTAGATCCAACACAAAAAGTTCTCTCATCTAGAGCTTTCGACCAATCACTCTGGTCTTCCTCAGTAGACTGACCCAGTGAAGCTTGTCACGTGGCCTCAAACAAACAAAACAGCCACATAACTCCAACCAAAACCTCTTCTTGCAGAATAATTCTAAGTATTACATCGTAGGTTTTCATCATTTTTCTTTTTCTTTCCACAGATTCCCGCGACTGTTGAGGACGTCGGAGTTTTCCCGGAGATCCAGGAAACGTTGATACAAAAGGGACTTATGTCAGCCTGATAGAAAAGGAAGTTATGTTAGCCTGACGGTAGTGAACAAGTCGGTAGACGTGGGGAGAAATATTAAAAATAGTATAACTAGACGAAAAAAGTTTAAAATATTTCAAGAAATCATACTAGGTTAATTGCTTTCGTCGCATTGTAACATTCAATTTTTATAAAAATCATGCAAGATGGTATATGTGGTAATTTTCATACTAAAACTTTAAACACTTTAGCTTAAGATGAAAGTTTAATCTAGATATGTATGAGCTTTGAACGTAAATGATATACAAACTTTGACAAAGTAGGGATGGGAGTTTTTAAAACGAATTGCAATACTAAAGGTGAGCTCTGCAAGCGAACATTTTGTTATTGTGTCTTATAAGCAGCTCATCCTTTAAAATGAAAAATATGCATGCTGCTTGCTTGCTTGCTTATACATGTATGTGGTAACTGGGCAATGTTCCATCTATGTATGTGGACTGCTTCTTGCCTGTGCTGTGTGGCATCTCAGGGAACTTTTGTCTATCCAATCCTAGATATTGCGTATCAAATCATATACAAAATTGAAGTTATAAGTTGGGTGTATCTTATAACTTTGAATCAGGGTTTTACTTCACGATTCATCATGGCAATGGAGAAACGATGTATAGCAGAAAATTGTAAATTAGTGATTTTTGTACAATCATTTTTACATAGATTTAGTGTGTAGGCATTGTGAGTTCACTTAGATCTGGGGTTAAGAAATAAAAAATGTTTAATGATCGTTAATGATATTAACATGGACTAACGACAGAAAATGTTTCTTCAAAATGCAAATAAGGTGAATAAACAGAAATGATTCCCGAATTAGAAACGCGTGCTGTCTTTGGCGTGTTATGTGCAGTTTGCAAGAATTCTAGGAACTGTACAGGATTTTTTCCACAGGCATGGCATGTCCACAGGCATGCCTGGAATTTTGCTGACACACATCTATGCCCACATTCCTGGAAACCCTTGGGGAAAACCTTGCTGGGGGATGACCTACGATCCTGGGCTCGTTCACTATACACTCAGGGGAGGGTGATATCTTGACAGTGCCATGCAAACAATAACCCTAACAACAACCACCGTCGCCATAGCAATGTATGTTTTCATTGTCAGTCTTATTAGATAAATGTCTGGGTGACTGACTGTTGTTGTAGTCTAAGTCGAAATGTCCACTTTTCCAGGTAACTACGTTCGGCCCCGTGTGGTGTAATAACCAAATCACATCTGTAAATGAATGAATAAATGAACTAGAGTTCCACGATCTCATACCTTCGCCAAATGATGTTAGCTTTTATGATTAAGAAATTATATATTAATCCCCCTAATTATGCAAATAGGATCCTCAATTGCATGAATTATATCTGTTGATCATAATCTCCACCAAAAGACAGTCTTATCTTAACAAAGAATGCCATGAGGAAACTTTCTCATGAATTATGCAAATGAGGTCCTTATTTGAATAAGTTATGTTTAATTATGTTCACCTTAATTTAACTTTCAAACACCCCAAGTATAAAATTCCAGGCAGTTACCACTATGCAATTATAATATTTTCTCATTAATTATGCAAATTAAGTCTTCATTTGCATAATCGATATCTGCCTGTGTTTCATTCTTAATAACATATGTCACAAGCTTGAACTTCCTATTATGGAATGCAGCTGATAAATAGAATTTCCTCATTAATTATGCAAATTACATCCATATTTGCATAATTGTAATATCATTATGTCAAGCATCACTCAAGCTACCTACATACCAAAAATCACGGTGATCCATCAATCGGTTCTTGAGTTATCCCCCTTTAAACATTTGTCCATTAAACCCCCCTGCAGTTCTAGAGCAAGCAACTAGGGGGCTCAAACTCATGTCACTTTATCCCCAGCACAAGAGCTATCTACCATCTAAATTTCGTCACCCTAGCATGTCTGGATCATGAGATATCAAAACCGGAAGTTCTGCTGCAGTACCATGACAAGCCGCCAGGTGGCCCAAAATCTAATCATTTTGAGGTCTCATCAAGACCTACCCACCTATTAAGTATCAAGACAATCCATCAAGACCTTCTCAAGTTATCGTGTTGACAGACACACACACACACACACACACACACACACACACACACACACACACACACACACACACACACATACACGAACGCCCCTGAAAACATAACCTTCTTGGCGAAGGTAATGAATCATTGATTGAACTTTATTGCTCGACAGATGCTCACATTCTATACTACAATATTGCACTGAGGGCAGTTACTAGTGTCTTTTCAATACGCGTTGTTTGTGGATAATTTCGTTTTTTTTTGCTATAGATGTCTGTATATTGAACTGTATATTAATCGGATATAGGCGCACTACTTATAAGTACCTAATATCAGCTCAGAAAAAATAGCTATGCCTTTAAGTACCAGAGTTGTACCAAGGATAGAGGTGCTAAAAAGCTCATTCTTTCCTAGAACTATCGCAGAGTGGAACTCGCTGTCACCATGTACAGTAGGGACATTATATTAGATACAGATACAGTTTCTCAGTCCAGAAAGGCCAGGGCCTTTCTTTCTTCTTCGGCCTCGATGTCATGTCGGAAGAACACAAGGATGATGACGTCACTCGTCAGCGCACCAATCAACCAGAGGATGACGAATATGCGGTCCATCACCATGGCAACCTGGAAGATGGGCAGAAATCTAGAAGTTGGCGTGTGAGATACTTGGTTTTAGCACAGGGATAAGAAGAGTTTCCAGGCAATAATCAAGGGTTAATGACCCGCCTAGAGGTGTATATTGTGTGATCAAGCCTTGCCAGTTGCTATAACCACCGGATGAAGCCACCGAGTGAGCGCAGCGAACCCTTAATCATTGTTTTGCCCCTGATTTTTCTGGAAACTTTTCTTATCCCTGTGCGCGCGCGTGTTTGTGTGCGTGAGTGTGTGTGTGTGTGTCTGTACGTTTGTGTTTGTTTGTGTGTGTGTAATTTTACCCACATTTGTCCATTCCGGTGGCTCTGGTTCCTCCGGCCCGGGGTCCAGTCGTTGTAAGATGTTTGTTTGTGTGTTTGTTTGTTTGTGTGTTTGTGTAATTTTACCCACCGTTGTCCATTCCGGTGGCTCCGGCTCCTCCGGCCCGGGGTCCAGTTGTTGTAAGATGTCGTTAAACTTGTCGGACAGCTCATCAAACTTCTCAAAGTACTGGGCAGTCCCGGTCACGTCTGAGTCATACAGGTGGAACAAAAGCTTTAATACGTCGGTGAAGGTTAGACATCCAGGTAATAAGATACGCCAAAAATCATTACTTAAGCAACTGGATATGATTTTGGAAACGGTCAGACGTTTCAGGTAGTATCCACTAGCTTTCGTCAGTGACTGAGAGACCAGAGGGGAAATGCAGGTTTATAAGCACAAACTATTGATTGGTATGCAAATAAAGTGAAGACAATTTTTTGGAAGTCGAAAAAGGAACAAAAGTCAGACAAGTCAAGCGGAGCAGGTTAAAAGATATTGCGCTGAAACACACCACAGCTTCAATTCATGATGCTGCATGATTGACTGACGCAGTTAGTAATGCAGCAAAACGTACTCGATCATGCAATAAGACATTGATACATTGCTCTTGTAGCAAAACGGAAGAACGCCTATTGACTATGACGTCACACCTTTGGCTGTGGTGACGTGCACGGGACAGGGCGGCTCCTCGCTGACGTCATGGAGGGATCGAGCATGCGCATCACGCCTGATGAGGACGGGGCTGCGGTACACCTTGACCCGCGGGATGGGCGTGGTCAGGCTTCCGTTGTCCTGGAAACGACGAAAAACATACTTGCTGAGGAACTTCACCTATATATAAACTTCAAGCAAGCCCTTTGACTCCCATCGTGACAGTAGATTTGCCGAGCCTTTCCGAGCTAGCGTGGCGCACGGTGTCAGGTACAGGAGCACTCAGTGGCACAAACAAACAAACAAACAAACAAACAAACAAACAAACCTGTCCGTGTGTGGCAGCCCCCGTCCCGTCCTGTCCTGGTGGCGGAGCGGCAGGTTTGCGGAGCAGCAGACGGCGAACTACAGCTAGTAAGGGGCCCACAAACAAACAAACAAACAAACAAACAAACAAACAAACCTGTGCGTGTGTGGCAGCCCCCGTCCCGTCCTGTTCCTGAGGAGCAGCAGCAGGTTTGCGGAGCAGCAGTCGGCGCACCACGGCAGGTACCGGGTCGCTCAGTGGCTTGTGGTGAACCTTCAGCACCAGCACGATAAACAGGATGGAGAAACCCACCAGACCCATAGTGTTGTGGAACCAGATGTCTGTGGCGGGAAAACAGAAGGATGACTTGAACTTGTAGCGAAACATGTAGCAAACATATGTAGCAAAACATGTAGCTAAAAATAGCAGTACCTCGACCTCTGACTCTTAACTGAAGTCATATGGCCGTGCATTAAGGGACAACATACCGGTATCTATCATACAAACCATACAAACTTCCTGCCACATTTGACCGTTTTGACCGTGGATTTCCGTACACCATAACCTGTTAATAGCAGATATATTGACGGTGTCCTATTCTTACCTTGACTGTTTCTCTGGTCCTCATCAGTTATAATGGCCCACTATTCCCGTCACGTGAATAGTGAGACGCTCTTAAGCGCAAAACCAAGAATACGTACACGGTGTAGATGAAGTCCTTTCATGGTACTTTCGGGGGCCGGCAACCTTCTCTGGCTAATGAATACTGTCTTGCCAACGAAAGGGATCTGCTTGGAGATTAAGCCAACAGCCCTAATCCCAAGACCACTCTGCCACTTTTAATACCGAGTTAAATAACGGCTATAACTGACCGATCAGCGGCACTGTCGCGGTGTTTCCTGGGAGCTCCGACTCCACGGAGTACAGGTATAGGATGAGCACGAGGAAGATGGTGACGTTGTACTGCACCCTGACGGGGATGGCGGAGGGCAGCAACATGCCGAGGAACGTGAGAACCTGCAGCAGCACGCACGGCAGCATCAGCTCAACAACCTGCGGAAACAAATTTGTATATGTACACACTCACGCACACATACACACAGACAAGCACGCACTCTCTCTCTCTCTCACACACATACACACACACACACACACACACACACACACACACACACACACACACACACACACACACACACACACACACACACACACACACACACACACACACACACGTACACATACACACAGGCACAAAATCACACAGGCACACACACACACACACATACATAGTATTACATACACACACACACACACACACACGTACACATACACACAGGCACAAAATCACACACACACACACACACACACACATACACACACACACATACACACACACAAACACACACATACACACACACACACACATACACACGCACAGACACACACACATCACATGTACACACACACACACATGTACACACACACACACACACACACACCTCTCACCTTGAAGAAAGGTTTCCGTCGAATCAGCAGAAAGACGGTCAGTTCGCTGTGGGGCTCTCTCCACCCGATGTGAGTCATCCTCTCCTGTTGTAGGGAAACAAGAAACTACACATCAAACTAGCTATAGACTCACTGCATACAGCAGCCGGGCTCTACCGGGCTCTCTAGGTTGCTAGAACACAGTAGAAATTGTCCACATAGACTGACTACTATGCCAGAGGTGTTAGCCGGCCAGGGGAGTACGTAAATTACAGCAACATGTTCCCTAGGAATGCATACTCTCTTCTGTACAATGACTATCCGCTCTGGTATAGTGTCCTCTAGTCTCTCGAAGACCCAACCTTTTCTGTTAGCTGAGTAACATTATCTGTACAGGTAATCATCCCTAGACAGGTACTTTCACCTGAACAGGCAACCTTACCTGAACAGGTAAACCTTACCGATCTTACAGGAAAGCCTATAAGATCCCAGTCGTCCTCCTTGTGCATTTCTGCGGTGAAGGACAAGTTCTCCCACCGAAGTTCATCCCATCCATACAACCAGGATCCAAAACGTCTGCAACACGAATACAAGTTAAAAACTTCGGCATGATACAAGCGAGAGCAACGGGCTATGGATAAACTGAAGAGTTACAAAAAAAGATGCAAAATAAGACTTTCATCAACGATTAAATTGAGGCTAAAAGGAATATAATAGAACTAGAAAACGACAGGCTAAATCTAGAACTTTGGAGGAAGATAGTCTGCACCAGACTCTTTTGCAAGCTGAAGAAGTAGTAGAAATCGGGCTAAAAGAATGTAGGTGGCCAGGGGAGTTGGCCGATCATAGACAAACTGGCCTAAGGCCGGCTAACTCTCCAGGCAAGCTACAATCTTGTTTGACCGATTTCTACTATTTATTCAGCCTGCAAAATAGTCTGGTAGAGACCAGGAGGAATAGGAGAGAAAACAAAAGATCTGGACGCGCGAAGAACACACCAAGCAGCGCCAACTCACAGGGGGCAGCTCTGGCTGTCAAACGGGAAGGCGGTGACGTCGACCTGACACCCCGAAATCAGAATGGTTTGTCCCCTGCAGACGACCGTGCCGTTGCCATGGAGACGCACGTGATTACACACCTCCAACCGGCCGCTCCAGTCCTTCCCGTCGTTCCTGAGGATATTTAAAAAAAATCACTGTTAAGAGAATGGATACTGAGTATCTTCTTGCTGTTCGTCCGTAGCAACAGGGGGTCTTGCGACGTTTTCACACTTGGTTGATTTTATATAATCTTATAGAATGTGAATTTAAACGGGAATTTATTTCCCTTTTTAACATTTCTTGACGTTTATATATCATCATACCATGTATGTCCAAATGGCTGCCCGTTAAGTAGACTTTGAGTATGATTTCGTATCGTGCTTTACTAGTTCAAGGCCTTGTTATGACATCATGTCGGATCCTGCAGTAACAACTACCACCGCAAGGTGGCGCCGTACACTGTTGGCTGCAGAACTTCAAAGGCCGTGCAAGGAAAAGTTTCTCTCGGTTCCTGTTTTGAAAACGAAAAATAACAGCCAAACGAGCAACCAGGACAGCGTCGGTTACCATCATATTCTGAGCAACTGCTACGTTTCTGGTAAACTTGTGGTTCTTCAATGAAGGTCAAAGGTCGTGATACTTGCAATGGAATGACGTATGACTGAAAATCGAAGAACTTTGAGGAGTCGGAGGTTTTTGAGCTACTGCTCGCCCAGGAGTCAAACTTACAATACGTTTGACTCCTGGACGAGCAGATTAGTCTGTTTGCAGACGGAGGTGACTCGGTGGTGTGGACGAGAAGGGAATTGCCAGCTCACAACGTCACTCACAGGTATGTCACTCTCAAGGTCATGAGAGCAGGGTGGGAGGGGGGCACAAGGGACATCAGAAGTCTTTGTCAATCAATTACGCCGTAACACGATTCGTTACGGCGAATGCATCATGTATTGATATGACGCTACGTATTTGATACAGCCTCCCCAGCGGGTCGTTTGGAAGTATTTTGTGAGGTGAATGGCATAGTGATGATGTGATGGTGGCAGATACCGTCTTCCCGCCACAAATTTTGATGCACTCCTGACGTCATCACGCCTCCGACTTCCGGAGAGTCAGCAACTTGAGCAAGTGCAGCACACATCTGACGAAGGTTGACGACATCGACCGAAAATGTATGGTGAGCTCCCTTCTAGTGTTGGAACAAAGCTTGAACTTTACAACTATGAATTCTACCAAGTGGGGTCGTGTGGCGCACTTTACACGACTTTCCCCACTTTAACTCAAGTGAAAGTGAGTATTGTCTGTCCTGTATTTGTTTCTATGTGTGGGACACAATACCAGCAACAGCTGCCTCTGTTTCGCGTGTATTGCACTGTTGCAATTTCAATAAATCAAATCAAATCAAAGCAGACGAGTTTTCATTCGAACATAATGATGACGTAGACTCTTACGTGTTGAGTAAGTAGAGGTCAGGTGACCACAGCAGGTTCTTCGGCAAGATCCGGGTACTTTTCCCTGGCCCTGACGTCATCAGTCTGTCATCGATCCAGCGCTGGGCATGACGGGAGAAGGTATGGAGGTAAAATGTATAGTACGTATTAGAAGAAACTAGAAATTTATGATCAGACATACCTTATTACATACCTTAGGAATTGCATCGTTAACCCCTAAGCAGATCTCCCGTCGGCGTTACAATATCGTAGCTTCCGACCAAATTTTCCAGTGGTCGATGGACTCAATGTGGGCTTCGAAATTAACTTTTCTTCCTGCTGTCCCATGCCAGCACTGTCCCAAAAATAAATTTCAATTGTACCAAAGTGAGGGTGAACTGTCCCAACCTGTTTTCTTGTTTTGTGATTTCAACTTGAAGTCAACTTTTTTTGCTTATGTTTGCTTTGCAGCGGATTCTGGCTGCGCGCCTTGCCTATTTGTTGGACATTACTGATTTACTGTTAGTCTAGGGTGCTGATGATTTGCTTGAGTTATCAACAGACTAACTGCCTGACAGATTTGGCATGTAAGAACGGAAACTGTGACGTTACCAACTGTAGATCCACCAGAATCGTCAAGGTTTGGCTCTTTGCGTCCTGTAAACAGTCAAAAGAACGATTGTTCATATTGGTGAAAACGTTAACTCACAAAGACAGTGAAAATCTCGACCCTGTTAGTTATCTTAACATGTCAATTTGCATTCTTAATATTTATATTCTCGCAGCCATTTTACCACGAAGAAAAGTATTTTACAAGATGTTTAAAAAAGTGTGGATACATAAGAGGCCTAGCGTGAGTCAAACCTCCCATCCCAGAAAAAATATTAGCATTGCAGGACACTTACAGCTAAAAGCATTTGTATCTCTTGTTAGCTATTTTAACATGTCTATTTGCATTCTTTATTGCTTTATTGTATGCCATCCCAATGAGTCATCACGTCCGGGTACTTACCAACTCATCCACCTCCCGGATGGCGAAGTCCAGCCACACCACAGTTGGGGGCGGTTCGCTGTTGTTGGTGGGGAGGGTGCCATTAAGCAGGGTTGGGGACGATTCGCTGGCGTCCGAGGGGAGGGTCCGGTTAGCGTTTGTGGGCCGCTCGTGTCTGTTGTAGCCCTCCGGTAGGGCCGCTGAAAACGTGGACTCCTCCAGGATTTGTCCGCAACTTCCTAAAAAATAACACAGGTTTTGTCCTGAAATAGGTCAGTCTGTCAACTCAGTACATGTAGGCTATTCCAGAGGGAGAACATCAATCAAACCGGGTAGGCGCGCTGCCTGACCACACGTGTTTTGCGTTAGAGGAAGTCTTTGACAGCTGGTGTTTTGTTGCATAACTGGCGCATCTGTTTTCCCTCAAAATACAAAAGTTCTGCTGCAGTACCAAGGTCAGCCACCAGGAGGCCCATATTTGACCTTGAACTTTGAGAGAGGTAGCGTTAAGTCAGGGGGTTCTAAAAAAGAACTGACTAGATACATTAATCTAGTCAATATATATACATATATTGGACTCACCCAAATTTTTCGACTGTACAACTCCAGTCTTTGTGTTGGCAATTACAGTTCAATCTTGTTCATAATTATACATAGATTTAGAGCTTTACAAAATGATAATTGCGTTGGGTTTGACCATACACACCAAGGTATTGATTCTTGCCGGTTGTTTTGTACTGTCATGTTTAGGTTTGTCTTGCTCAGTTACTAGTCTCCATCAGACTCGTTTTGCAGGCTGAATAAATGGTAAAAATCGGCCTAAAAGGGATACAATGAACCTATACCATTATTACGTCACAGTTTGTTTACCGCAATGAATGCCGGTCAGTCGACGTTTATATTGTACAGGGGTGCGTAGCGCGGTGTGTGTTTGTATAGCGTTAGCCTAATATAACGCTTTTGATACAGTACTACTTTCGTCTAATGTCACAACTAAATCACCTATGCGGCATGTAATGCTGTGTCAACACAACTAGACACAGCAAAAAAATCAGACATACCTTACTTTAAAAACTTTGAAATGATCTTTATTCTTTAACTGACCAGAACAGGTAAACAAACTGTGACGTAAAAATGGTATAGGTCCATTGGCCAGAGAAGCTCCATTTACCTGCAAAAGGATTTTGGTGGAGACTAGTCAGTTACATGTATATTGTGTAAATCGATTATCAGCAGTAGAAAGAGCAGCGACTTCTGGGTTTTGGCGGTGTGAGACTCCCTTCAGCTTAATTATTCATGGAGCTGGAACCGATTAAAGCCGCTGCGATGGACGCGGAAAGGTCCTAATCTGAACTTATCTCTGCACTAATGACTGCAGAGTCAGGGACGTAAGTAATAATCATTAGATTACCCACGCTGTTATGTAACAAACTAAGGGATCAAAGGTCTTAGTTTTTTTTCTGTGAAATGTCGTGTTTCATCTATCTGCTTGTTTGTTTATATAGTAATGGATGCCATAATTTGTACCATGATCAATTGATGAACGAAAGTAATAACGTTTAGATTACCCACGCCGTTATGTAACAAGCTAAGGGATCAAAGGTCTCAGTTTTTTTTCTGTGAAATGTCGTGTTTCATCTATCTGCTTGTTTGTTTATATAGTAATGGGTGCCATAACTTATACCATGATCAATTGATGAACGTAAGTAATAATCATTAGATTACCCACGCCGTTATACAACAGCTTAAGGGATCAAAGGTCTTAGATTTTCTTTTCTGAGGAATGTCATTTTTCATCTATCTGCTTGGCGTTGAACGGTGGCGGATACAAATGGTTATCAAACAATGTTGACAAGGGCAATACAAGATGGGGAAAACAGATATCTGGCGTTGGCTGAATGAACTAACGAAGATGCTTATCTACAAACATTCATGCCTTCTTTTGGCTACCAGATCCTATCAGATGCAAACAGTCGACCTTACAACGGTGCACACGACTCATAGTATGTTTGTTTATATAGTAATAGGTGCCATAATTAATTTGCAATTCCTGTGTAATTAAGTTTCTAATATGATCCCATGTGAAATAAACTGAAGTGAGCTCTTTAAATGCTCTTAAAGCATGTTTAAAGTTTCCGTTTATTATAATCCATGAAAGGTGTTATGCGTACTCAAATGCAACTTTTATGGTATCTTTACGTTCGCCAAAAAACAGTTACAACAAGGAAAATCGTAGATTTTGTACCTCCGGGTATTGTAATGTATGTTGCAGAATGTTGGGTGCATGTTGGGACTGTTCTTTGAATTAACTAGTGAATTCGCGCGAATACCATTTTTTTCGAAAAGTTTCGAAATGTTTGTAATTGGCTAAATGATGTGTGAATCACTAATCCCCCCTAGCCGACTGGAGCCCAAAAATAGAAAGGACAGGAGGCATCCGGTGGCGAATCTGGCTGCCCGACCCTCAGCGACCAGCGATAATGTAAACAAACACAGTAACGGGTGTCCGAGACACGAAAAGGAAATACAAATAATCTTACGCCCCAAAACACATATACAATAAAACAAAAAAAACCTGCACCATCTACAGCCCATTAACAGAAGATACACCGAGTCCCGAGAAGGTCTGAGACAGTATACCAAGCCGAAAACATCCGAAATTGCGCAAGAGGGCGTTGACCCCTGACCCATTGGCCCACCCGGAAGTTCGCTGGCTGCGACCCGCGCGATCCCACCAGGCACGAGACGTTGATTGACGGCACATGTGGTTCACATCTGAACAGTTTCAAAGAATGCTGACACCCCTCTGTGTGAAAGGTCAGATCAGTGGTCGCGACCTCAATGGTGATTATACATGCAAAGGTCAAAAGCTGAGGCCCGACCAACACTGAAAGGGGTGTCCATCGGCGGTCTAAACGCATCATTTTCACGCACTAAAACACACATACTAAAAAACCAAAACAATGTGCACCATCTACAGCCCAACAGCAAAACGTATACCAAGTCCCAGACATATCCGTCCACCCAAACGCGAGAAACGGGTGCGAACGCAATTTTCGTCTTCCCTCACAAAACCTCCGCGCTCGGGATATACATCCCTACCCGGAGGTAAAAACAGTTAACCAACTGGATATGATTTTGGAAACCGTCAGACGTTTTAGATAGCATCCGCTACCTTTCGTCAGTGACACTGGTGAGTTGTCAGAAAGGCAGGCTTATAAGTACGAACTATTGACTGACATTCAGATACAAACGTGAAGACATTTTTGAAAGTTTAAAAGGAAGCGAAAGTTAGACAAGTCAAGGCAATCTTCGTTCTACTAACCTGTGCTGAGCAAGGCGGAAACCAGTAGAACCAGCGCGTCTGTCTTGCGGGGCGGCATGGCTGGCATCAGCGGGGATATTCAGGCATGTTCTGTGGGGAAATATTGTATCCTGAATAGTGCTTTTTCCAGAACTATGCTTCATCCAGAGCTGTGCTTTATCCAGAACCATGCTGTACCCTGAACCGTGATTTAACGAGAACCGCCATTTATCCAGAACCGTGGTGACCAGAACTGTGCTGTATCCAGAACTGTGCTTTATCCAAATCGGTGCCCTTGGAGAAATCTAACTTATTAGATACATGAAGACTATCCAGAACCGTGCCTGATCCAAATCCTGCTTTGAAACGATAAGAATGGCCCTGACTTACCGTTTTCCCTGACATGGACTCCAAGCCTACCCAGCGCCGCGTAATTCAGAGCTCGTGCCGTCTGCTGTCACCCGAGATCCAGGGCACGGTCTGAGTCTGACAGAACCACCCGGTAACTCTGCTCCTTACTCTCACTGACGTCAACGACGTCACCGGATACTTCCCAAGGAGCGCTGAAGAGACGGGAAGTCACTTGACGATGACGCCACGGCGCGTTTCAAAACCGCTCAGTACGTAGTCTTCAACGTTTGAAGAGAATACCTTGAAAATCGGATTGATTGTCAGGTAATTTACACAGGAACACCGGTTTGTTTCAGACTTTGGCTTTTAAGGAGCAGATTTTAGCTTCGTAATAAGGTCGCCTCCAAAACCAAACCACGTTAGAATGCGAAAAGCGCACGGGGAATTGGGTTATCCTCTATCTGAGAATCATCTCTTTATGGCAACACGCCATAAACTGATGGAGAAGTGCCACCTTTTAGTTAAGTGTGCCCTGTTTTGCTTTCTTTATCTTTCTGATTTGATTTTGATATCATTAGTTTTATTGAAATTGTAGCAGTGCAATATACGTGGGACACAGGCAGCTGTTGCTGGTGTTGTGTCACACAAATAGAAGCAAATACAGGACAGGGCAATACTCATTTTCACTTGAGTGAAGTGGGGAAAGTCGTGTACAGTGCATTTCCCAAAGGCACAAGATCGGTGGCATGTCAGGACTCGAACCTGGGACCTCTTGGTTCCGAGTCGTGCACTCTGCCTTTCCGCCAGACGACCTCACTATCAGTTCTGGGATGACAGGATTTTTTAATTGTAAAAGTGGCTGCAAGAATATACTTGTTGACTAACTTGAGTGCGCAGTCACTTTGTGTCCTTTCATTTGTATTCATCACTGTTTTTCTGACAGAAAAAAGTGGCTTGATGGAGAAGTCTATGTACTAATCACATTACGGGCCGTGTGACCTGTGCGGGTCCTGGTCCCGTTCTGACCTCCAGTCATTACAGATACACATCTAGTAATTAGATAAGGCCACACTGACTTAATTTTATGGATGGCATCTGTGCGCGCATGGTTTTCGCCTCTTCTCAAAAGAAACAAGAAAGATCTAGTCCACAGAGGCTCTGGCCTGGCTCTAGGTCTGAGTAGTCCTTGGTAGTTAGCGACAATAGGGAGTCGGTGGTAACTCTGGAGGATGGCACCCAGGCTACCGAAGCTCCACGACTCAAGAACTCAGTACCTACATTCGTACAGTGCCGATTCATAAATTCCGCAAACGGCCAGCATGTGTATATGTCAAACATACGCCGCTGTGTACTGCCGCAAGTTCACAATACCACCTTTGTATTACTGTGGTTTAGTAGCATTTTTATTTTTGGTCCGATTTTTTTATTCGCCCGCGCGCACTAGTTTGGGGGTCTTCAGAGGATGTCATCCATACAATTAAATCCGTGTGGCCTAACGGCAGCGCGGCTTTAATGTTCCTGTAACGTGTTTATCCGGCCTACAGGGGGACGGCCATTCGTCAAATTAGTGTCCGACAAGGAGCTGAAATCAAATGAAATCTTTGAGAAATAAAAGCCAAACTCGCGCCCGGGCTACTAATACTATAGACGGGGTTGTAGCGGGTGTGATTTACGCACTCTTACCACGAAAGACCGTGGTTACTGGGCGATCACTGAGTCATAAAACATTTGACAATTACAGTAGCTCGACGGATTTCATAGACAAAGGGCGGATGTCTTTTGTTTTGTACGTTTTGCTAATCTCCAGGCAAATCCTAGGGTGGCAAAAGTACAGTATCAAATTGGTCATCCAATTGGTGCTGTGTCCCTGCGGGTGTCCCCCAAGGGTCTGTTCTCGGTCCCTTACTCTTTCTTGTATATGTAAATGATATTGTTGATGGACTAGTCTCTCAGCCTTTTCTTTTTGCCGATGATAGTTCTTTGCTTCAAGTTGTTGATAACCCATTTCATGCTTCCGTCTCTCTCAATTTGGACCTGGAAAAAATCTTCTTATGGTCTACTAAGTGGCTGATGGAATTAAATCCCACAAAAACTGAAGAAATTTGTTTTACTACTAAAAAAGTCCGTCAAGCCCACCCCCCACTATTTCTTAATAATTCTGTAATAAAATCAGTTTCCTGTCATAAGCATATTGGGATTATTCTTAGTTCCAATATGTCTTGGCATCTTCATATTGACAGTATTGTTTCTAAAGCTTTCAAAAATGTTAACCTATTTAGGGCCTTGAAATTTAGATTACCCCGCCATGTATTGGAAAAATATACAAGTCTTTCATACGTTCATTGTTGGAATATGCTGACGTTGTCTGGCACGGGTGCACAATCGAGGAATCAAACCTCTTAGAAAGAGTTCAGTATCATTGCTCCCTCGTTGTGTCTGGTGCCATAAAAGGGTCTTCATATTCTTTAATTTGTCAAGAGCTCGGCTGGGAGACTCTGTCCGATAGGCGACACATTCATCGCTTATTACTATTTCATAACATTGTAAACGGATGTACTCGGGAATATCTTACAGATTTACTTCCATGTACAATTACTGCTACTTCTATCTACAATCTGAGAAACAGTAGTAATCTGAGAACCATCAAATTTTCTACCAATCGTTTTGGAAAGTCTTTTATACCATATTCCATCACTGGATGGAACAACCTGAATTTGGAAATCCGTACTCTGTCGTATCCAAAATTTCGTTCAAATCTTTTCAAATCGGTACGTCCTGTAAAGTTAAACTATTTTAGCTTTGGTTCTCGTTATTCCTGTATTCTCACTACCCGACTTCGTCTGGGCACCTGCAGCTTGAATCACAATCTTTATACCCGAGGTCTTGTTACAAGTCCATCCTGTAGCTGCGGGTGTCCATATGAAACGATTGCTCATTATTTATTGCACTGCCCTATATACACCTACCAGCGCTTAGTCCTTTTTGGCAAGCTTTCAAGCATACTTGGTAATATTGTTGATTTAAACACCCTTTCTGATAATTCCATACAATATTTAGTTCTTCGCGGTAGTTTCCTTTGTTCCTATGACATCAATTGCAAAATAATGTTAGCCGCACAAGATTATATATTAGAAACAAAAAGAATTCTAACTGTATGTGTCTTCTGGGATGGGAGGATTGTTACTCACGCGAGATCTCATGTATTTTTAATTGTCTTGTAAAATATTTTTCTTTCATTGTAAAAGTGGCTGCGAGAATATAAGTTGTACCTAACTTGAGTTCGCAGTCACTTAGTCCATGTCTTTTCATTTGTAATTCTCATTGAGTTTCTGAATAAAAAAAAAAAAAAAAAAAAAAAAATTGGCCAGGCAGTATCCATTGGCCATGCGCGACCCAACAACAAAACGGGCCATATATAAAAAGCTAACGATCATTCCCTCACAACCTCTGCTTGGAGAGTACGTTTTGCGTCTTTTGCTCAGTCACCAGAGAAGGTGCCGGGCCCCTCCTGGACCAAGCCTATCGTCAACTGAGGCGGAAGGAGGCCGTTGATGTTTTTTGCTCATAAAGCAGACTTTTGCATCATTCATCATATTCCAATTGGAGGATGAAAGGTCAAACAAATTCAATTTTGATCGTTCAACAGTCGTTCGGCGATCGCCGTCTGGTGGAAAAAGGCTAGTGCGGAACCCACAGAAAATTCAGACGATATTTCTGGTTCGCTTCTCTTGGCAGCCTCCCTACTACTACCTCGCAGTTTGGATCATTAACGCATTCAGTTGCAGTTTTTATTATTCTCGCTAGTCGTCGCTCGTATCGGAGATAAACAGGATAAAAGTACATAAGGGTGTTCTTCATCTTCTTCCTCTCCAAACAGTGACCTCTGACCTGACTGAACCAGACTGTCTCTCACCATGGTAACTGATGTTGGGTTACATAATGTTGCAATTTTATAGCTGGAGGGATTTAGGTAAACGTTTTGCATTTGCTTTGCAAATGTTACTTTTCTAGTCTTTGTTGTATATCCGCTATTGTGTTTTAAAATACAAGCAATCATGACGGGCATCACTAGCTTTCTATACTGGTTAGACTTTCTTTATACTTTTTATTTTTTCTATTTATCAATCTTACAAACAAATCCTTTAGCCGCTGAGGCTGATTTCCAAGGGAGCCCATAGAAACATGATACAAGAAAATAATGTAACATAAAATAATGATAATTAAACGCAACAAAGGAATTCGAACCACGAAGTAAAAGATAAACCGTATGTTCATCATACTTCCTCCATGTTTATTGCAGTTTAAATTCCGCTTTTCTCTGGTCTGTTTTACATGGTTATCTTTGTTACAACCTTTGGAGGTTTATGTCAATACTTAGGAAGGCGTCAGAGCAACGTAGGTAGAAAAACCTCCACGTCATTAAATAATACACTATACATCCATTATTCCACCACACGAGTGGTCATTATCCGACCAAATGAGTGCCCATTATCCGACCAGATGAGTGCCCATTATTTCACCACTTGAGTGCACTAAAGATAACGATTACAACAAAGGTGCAAGATGTCAGACCGGGAGGTTTGACGTTCTATAAATAACAAATAAATATTGTCATAGATATGTTGCGAAATATGTAATAAATACATGATGTTATGAAATATAACCTGCCTTCAGAGTGACATGTTCTCGGGACGGTCTACACTCTGAAAATGACTTACTCTAACTAATCTAAATGGAAATCTTTAACTGGAGTCGCTACTTACATGGTTTGTAACTCATTACTCTGCTACCTTATCGCTTGAGGACGCATAGATTTTATCGTCCTCCTGTCGTGTGCACGCTTGTGTCTTTAGTACTAACTTCAGCCAAACATCCATGTTTCATCAGGTTGGTAGGACACTGACCAGAGAGACTCTTTTTACACAACCAAGTCTTTTATTCAGCCGACGTTTCGGTGACCGTCTGTCACCTTCCTCAGGGCAATTCGGCTGGTTCACATTGCACTGCGGTCACCGAAACGTCGGCTGAATAAAAGACTTGGTTGTGTAAAAAGAATCTCTTTATTCAGTCAAACATTCAAGAACCACGGCGGGAAAGCGTCATCATGTCGTCAATCATTCAAGTGCCTACGTCGTGGGAAGAAGAAGATACAGTCATGAGTGCACAAAAGATGCTTAAACGGTTTAAGTTTAATTTCTAATCGTCTAACAGTAATTCTTGAGTGATTCTCTTCACTGTACGAGGTGCTCTACAGAGTGACGTCATTCCCGCCATGTTGGGTGGTTAAACCTGGAAGCGCCATTTTTACGTGCCTGTAATTATAAAATTCACATCTATCAAATGACATCCAGGTTTAACCATCTAACATGGCGTAGAATGATGACGTCAGAGTCACGTGAGTGCTAAGGTTACACGTTGCCAAAATTTGTCCCATCACTGCTCGGCCTGGTTCTGTGCGATGAACTTTTCGTACGCGTTCGGCCCGACGACCCCGTCACTCCCGGCATTCCCCGCTGCTTCCGGGTGAAAGAGCGCCTCGTCGACCAATCCCAGCAGCGCTGCCAGCAGGGCCTGGCGTTTCAAGCGCTGCTCGTCGCTCTTCACCAGGTACTCGCTCAGGTTCCGCTTGCTCTGCGCCTGCGCGGCCGGCCGGTAACCGAGGTAACCGCCCAACCGGAAGTGACGCGAGGCGTCCTTCTTCCTTCGCCGACGGTCGACGTCGTCACTTCCGGAATCGGTGGAAGACGGCGACTCGAGCTCCTCGTCTGGGAACAGTAACTCCACCAGAGGGTCGTCTTCGGCCGTCGCTGGAGGGGGAAAGGATGGGCTTAGTCTCCTCCTATAGCTATCTCCTTCTCTTTCTCTCTCTCTCTCTCTCTCTCTCTCTTCTCTATCTCTTTCTCCCTATTCTCCTCTCTCTCTCACACACCGACGAGGTTATGTCCCTTTGCTCTCACACACACTCGTCTCTCTCTCTTTCTCTCATTCACTTGCTTCTTTGTCTTCCCGGCTCTTTCCCTCTAGCTTTCTCTCAGTCTCTCAGGCACCTTCTCTCTCTCGTAAGGAGATGATAGACTTTTAACAAAACTCCTACCATCTCTAAAGCTACTTCCTTCTTTCATGCATCTAAATCGTGGCATGTCCATGGTGATACTCCTAGACTGTGGTAAATGGTGCAAGAGTAAGCAAAAAGACTTACCCAGTGCGTCCAGTAGTGAGTGCAGCCAGACGAGGCGCGCCTGCTCCACCCGGCCCCGGCTCTTCTCCTGTGTCACGGATACCTCCGTCTGTCTCCTGCTGTTATAGGGAGATACATGTAACGCGTTAGCCGAGTTTTCCTGCTGTTATAGGGAGATACATGTAACGCGTTAGCCGATCGCGAGGTTTTCTGTGTGGGTCCAGTATCCTCCAGCAGAGGTTTGGGATTTGGCTTTTTTAAGTCATTCTTTGGGTTGGCATCGAAAAAAGATAGTGCAAAAAAGATTTTAAAAAGTCTAAAAACACGCCAAAAATAAGTGTCTTTAGAAGTTTAGAAAAGCATGCAGTACTTAGTATTTGTAATTAGGCAGATTAACCCTATTCAGGGGGGGGGGGCTTTTGAGGCCCGCGCCAAATTTTATCTCAGATAGCACGTGAACGGCTTGCGCTAGAACCATCAAATTTGGTCAATTAATTCAACGGGTTTCTGACAGGCAGTGTTTGAAATATCTAGTAATTTTGGTTTGCAGGTCCCTTCTTCCTAGCACGCACAAAAACGGTCTGTATAAGTGGTGGAGGTAGGATATTTTGGGCTTCTAGTTATTACTCGACAATGCAAGAAACAACCTGTAGAAAAGCATTCCTACGTACATAATATTAACACCCCTACCTCCTGAGTGGACCTTTCCCGAGTGCAACGCTCTGAGCCTCCTGCACCACCAGCAGGGCCGTCACCATTATGAAAAGTAGGGGTGTCTTGTGCATCGTTGTACTTCTGCAAATACAGAATGGAGAGGTGGTTATAAATGCAAACACGCCACAAAGCCCACTCATTGACTTCAGCCTACTTTGGAAACATTGCTTGAAATGGGAATTGTCAATACAGAATACTGGATAGAGTAGAAATTGGCCAGATAGAGAGATAACATGCCGGGGGAGTTGGTCCGTTAGAGAGTACACTTTGCGGCACCTGTTTTCTACTCTTTCCAGCCGCCTCCCGAAGCCTGATAGAGGCTGCTGGCAAGGTGAGATGGTGTAACACAGGCTAGGAGGAAGTAGTTATTATGTTTACCGAAGGAAAACATATTATTTTTACTCGGTTTCATCCTCCTCTTCTGTTCCAAACAATATACCTCTGACCTGGCAAATGATATGATTTGTTGACGTCTGTCACCATGGTGACTGGTATTACATTATGTTGCAATTTCATGGTCTGCTCTGCTCCTGTCACCATATACTCATAGTACATGTAACGTTATGTGAATGTGTTTGAGTAAAAATTAACAGAGCAGACCATGTCCGAAGGTAATCATTATGCCTTTGCAAATGTTACTTTTCCAGTTCAGTAGTATTAAATTCTTTGAAACTGCCCCATGTTTCGTGCGTAGGCTTCACAATGCGACAGAGGTCTGATGGAGTAGCGCTGCTCTTCACCCGTGCAGATGGGAAAGGCCCCGCGGGTGTGATCAGGGAGCGGTCTTTATCAGTAAATGGAACCGGAACAGTAATGTCACATTGTGAGGCAGCACACAAGGGGCTGATGCCTGAACTTTCATCATGGTACTCATGGCACTCGCCAGGTACTCCCACATCAGCAGCCAGCTGGTCTATGTCATGCGAGGACCCCATGTTTAGCATGTGCTTGTCCATTAACCAGAATTAAGCAACGAAATTCTTCCAATTTAGAGATCAGGGACAATCAGGTGTACCTTTCAATTGCGTCATAGATAGAATGCCTGCTGAGATTCTCACGGTTTCAGTTCAGAAGTTCAACTGCCAATGACACTGAAAAGTTTCTCTCTTTTCCAATTGCGTCATAACTAGCGTGCTCACAAGGTTTGCACGTCCCCTGAAGACACATAAATATCGTGCTTTTTCTCCAGTACTAAAGTAGTGGTGGGCGAGACAAACCCTTGTGTGAGAAACTAATGGTTTGTCACAAATTGGAACTTCGAGTAAAACGTTTCCCGTAGCACCTAGTTTACTCTAGGGGCTGTTACCTTCTGTTTGAGGGATGCTTTTCTGAAAACGACTTAGTAAGTCGTATTTCATAATCCACTGTTGCTGCACATGTTGGGTCCCTTTTTCTGAAATTGGAATGGTTGTCTTTAGTTCACCGCGTTACGATTTGCTGCCGGCTTGCAGAATGTTCTTGTTCTTGTTGAACCACCAGGCACCTGCGGGTTACGGATCCTAGAATTTGGTAGAAAGGAAATAGTTGGCCAGGAGAGTCAGTCCGCGAGAGGGTTAATTTCCACCTCCCGATGATAAATGAACTCTAGATCTACGCTGGCTAAACTCCCCTAGTCAATTATTCTCCCTATTGGCTACATTTTATTTGTTTTTTGAACCCGCGTTGTTAGACTCTTGTTGAACTTACACAGGTTTCCCCTGTTTTAACCTTTCTGCACAAGGCTTTCTGATCCCCATTAGCAGAGTACTTTTGTGGGTCGCTGTCAGTTTTACAGTCGCGTGGGCACAAACATGCGGGCAGCAGCCAAGCCTCTACCAGGCTTCGGGAGGAGGCCGGAAAGAGTAGAAATTGGCCAAATAGAAAGAGATGACATACCGAGGGAGTTGGTCTGCTATAGAGTACATTTTGCCCCACAATGTACTCTCTAGCAGACCAACTCTCTCTGCATGTTTTTTCACTCACTATTTGGCCAATTTCTACTATTTCCAGCCGCCTCCCGAAGCCTGGTAGAGGCTCAAATTGTTGCCAGTTTTTACTACCGCGTAGGCAGGTGCGGTAACCAATGAGTGAAGTCCTTACCTCCCGGCAGGGTCCCCTGATGACCGAACTACCGCTGCGCAGTTCGTGGCCTGACATTCAAAAACACCCGAATATGCTCTACAGAGGAACATCAACCCTTCCCATCATCGCCCCCTGGGGACTCTAAACGGTACTGCACTCTACCGCTGCGCAGTTCACGGTCTGACATTCAAAAACACCCAAACGTACTGCGGAGATCCTCCCCAGAGTAACATTATCGCCCCCTGGGGACTCTAAACGGTACTGCACTGACACCTCCTGCCACATGCTTTCCTCAGCAGGTCAGCTGAGGTTCTACTAACAAGTTTTAAGAGACAGACAGAGAGGTTCTGTTTGAAGACTATAGCTACTATATCTCTATTGGTCTGTCCGAGACTGCTTCATTGCCATCGATTATTTTCCAGGGAGATTTTAGCCTAATCAGGAGAATACGGGTTAAAAGGTCAGGCTAATAGCAAGAAAGCGGCTACTTAATTGTCTGGCTGATTTTCCAAAACCAGTAAAACAGGCCTTAAACGGAACGTTAGAAAAATACGATCACGGCCTTTCAAGGAAAAAAAATATATTGGCCTCAGAACGTCCTGTTGTATCACAGTGTTGGGACAACCCTGGCTGATTTTTACACAGTATCCAAAAATAGGTAGTCCCATTGTTATGGCCTCAAACGGGAAAGTTAGAAAAATACGGCAGGCCATTTAGGGAAAAAGTACGGGCACCAGGACGTCCTGTTGTATGACGGTGTTTGGACAACCCTGGCTGATTTTTACACAGTAACCAAAACCAGTAAAACAGTTTATTACTATGGCCTTAAACTGCTAAAATTTAGAAAAAATACTATAGGCCTTTTAGGGAAAGTATGGGCACCAGGACGTCCTGTTGTATGTTGTGTTTACATAACCGGCAAAATGTACGGCATCACAAATTTGTTCTTCCTTCCGCAGGTTTCCGCACGGCCCGACACACGGCACACACCGCCCATTCGCCCCGGCCCCACGTGTTTCCGCACGGCACGACACACGGCACACACCGCCCATTCGCCCCGGCCCACGTGACCAGACCAGCCGACATGAGGCCGCCAGCTACACAAATGCCGCGGGCGGGCGGAGCTCGAGTGGCGCCGCTGGACAAAAGGGACTTCAACAGCCCTCACCTGCCGCTACCGGCGCTACCAGGTAACATCACCAACACACCTGTGGCTTCTGGGCAGTGGGGACACGCTTAATTGTTCCCGCCCGGCGAAGCAAAAATCGCGAACCGTTGAAAGATGCAAGCGTTTTTTCCGGAGCTTCTGAGAAGCAGTGAAGCATTTACTTGATCCCGGAAAAACGAATCGTAATGCCTTCTTTCCATGTGTAAATTTGACTTTAGAACGTTTGGCCTAAAGTTTATAGGAAAGCAGAGTTGCAAGAATTTACCTCGCAGCGTTCCTAGGACAAGAGTTAAGAGTTAGCTGCTCTCCATTCACAACTATTGAAAAACCAGGCGATTCATGGTCTTGCCAACCAACCAAAAATATCAAAAATATAGCACAACATTTTAAGATTCGATTCCAGGATGGAAATCTAAAAAAAAAACTCTACTAACAAAGAGTAGTCCCTTTCATCCGACACAGTGAAGGGGTCTTAATTAACCAGATTGTTCTAAACGAAGTTTAGTTAAGTTACAAAGCTAATTTACCAATCCTGATTCGTCAGTAGACCGCGGGGGGAAGTGTACACAGTCCTGTCAATGCCCTGTCAGTCCTGATACACGCATTAACATCAACCCAAAAGTTCTTGTACCGGTCCGCCTGTTGATGTTGGGCGGGGAAAAGCCAATATGCGCCTCCCGGCTGTGCATATAGGGACACGAGCCCACCTTTTACCTGCTCAACACCTGAGCAAATTTACCTGCGCGTGCTCACCTGAGTTAGGGCTCCGGAGATGGTTTGGGACACTCTTGAAAAGTTGCTTTCACTGAATGAATGATCTTTATTGAATCGTCTTGCCCACATGAGCTAACTACAGTATTTATACTACTGAAACAACATTACCCTTAGTGTTCATAGTTAAGAAGGGTGAAACAAAACTAAGAACATATATCTATGTTATCACTATGGTGTACGTGCTAGATCTATTGTTCACAAAATAGTTTACTACGTTTTGGAAGGCTACATTTAGTTACGCCGAAAGGACCTCACGGACCTCATCCTTTGTTTAGCGATTGCCATTTCTTGTTTGTGTAAAACAGTAAATGAAAATACCTTGCCGAATAAAGGGACACGATAAGGTTTGATAAGGTACATATAGTTTTTACCAGTTATTTGGTCACTAAAGGGAATCATTAGCAGCTTGGCAAGGTTTTTTGTTGGATCATTTTAAGGACTTGCTTGGCTACGTTTACTTCATGCCTCATCCTTGCGAGCGTTTCTTTTACATGGCCAGATGGCATGGGTGTTGTTGTAGGAAAAGCGTGTTATTGTACACGAATTCGTTGTTGGTCTCTTCGTCAAAAAATCAGCTCGACAAAAATGAAGCTCAACAACCTCCTTTGGCTTGCTGGTTTATGAACTATTTTCTAGACGTAAGTAGCAGAAACGGAAAGAAAAATGCATTTTTTCCTGGCTTGCTGTACGTTTAAGGCATACATATCTGCGGCTATGACTACAAACTAAGATTCTTAATGAAAGTACCAACCAACCTTGATGAGTTGATCTGTACTTGTACTTGTCGCGAGTCTTTGTTCGCTGTCGTCGGATTTTCTTCACCAAGTCGCAAATCTTCGTTCGTGTGTCGTCTTCAGAGATTGAGTCTTGCGATAGTCGCGCGCTGTCGTGTGTCGTTCGTCCTCCCCACGTGCCGCCTCCGCAGTCCCTCCGTCCGTGCCGTCAGGTGTGTTTCTGTGTGCTGTGTGCGCGCTGCGGGGTCCTTATATCCCCACTCGAACCGCACACACGCCCAGTGAGCTAATATCCTGCCGGGAGGTGGGCGGGCGGACCGCGTGCGTAACGTGGGGATTACTCACTAACACAAACAACCGGCGGTTTGCTCTGTTCCTATGACATCAACTGTAAACTTATGTTAGCCTCACAAAACTACATAACAGTAAAAAAATCGCTGTAAAAACAAAAACTGTAAAATTATGTTAGCCACACAAAAGTACATAACAGAAACAAAACGTTTTAGCTATATGTGTCCTGTTTTTCTTTTTTTTCTTACTTTTCTTCTTGAAAGGAAAATTTGCTCTGTTTGCTCTGTTCCTATGACATCAACTGTAAACTTATGAAATCTACATCTACATCTTATGCTATTTATATTATGATTTGAATTATTGTATAATGAATGGTTCACTGCATGCGTTTTCTTCTGATTTGTGAATAAAAAAACTAAACTAATGTTAGCCACACAAAACTGCATAACAGAAACAAAACGCATATATGTTACATGTATATAATTATGTGTCTTGTATCTTTCTTTTCTTCTTGGATGGGAATTTTGACTCACGCTTCAATTAGGTCTAGAATAATTCCACTTTTTTTTCAAACGTCTCGTAAAATACCTTTATTTTTCATTGTAAAAATGGCTGCGAGAATATAAGCTCTGCCTAACTTGAGTTCGCGGTCACTTTGTGTCCTTTCATTTGTATTCATCACTGTTTCATTTTCTGAATAAAAAATAATCATGTCAACACGAGGGAAACGCCACGGCAATAGAACTGGGGGTTTGGTGGTCTTCGGCTGTTTTCTGATTAGCCTCCGTAGCAGGCTTATAGAACTGGGAGTTTGGTGGTCTTCGGCTGTTTTCTGATTAGCCCAGTTCTAAAAAATCGGGAGTAATTCAACCAGGCCGGCTATGTCGTCTATACACCAACAAGGAAATAGCACATAAAAGCTCCCAAAGACCATGAAGACCCCCCAAACCCCACGTTTTTTGGCATGCTATGGAGGCTACACGGCAGCGCGACTTTGTTTTCCCAGGATACCGGTTGCCAACTCAGTCGACAGGCAATGATTGGTGGAATTTAGGCTCCGCTTGTCAAATTGTGAAATGTCAAATTAAATCTTTATAGACCTTTAAAAGTCGTAGCGTAGACAACGGTTTGATACATGTATATACAACGAACAGGTACAGCTCTGCTTTGAAACATACAAATATTTAATATGTTTACTTGTGAACTTTTATGTCCACATTTCAACTCAGTCAACAAGAACGGACTGACGGAAGTTGGGCTCCCGTTTCGTAACACTTGTCGAATTTAATCGTTACCGACATTTGTTTAACGAGTTTGCTCAAAGTAAGACTAACATTCCACTTCTGGCCACGGAACTACGGGGTTGCCTCACTTTTTTGTTTTTGTACCACCGTCACCGGTCGCGCCAGGGCATTGACCCCCTGGTCGTTACACCCCGAGAGGGGCGTTTGCCCAGTATTGTGTAGAAGTAGAGGTTGGTGGGATAACGCTAAGAGATGGCGGTAAAAGTCGGTTTTTGAAGAGTTTAATAATAATTTTGCAGTCCGTGTAGAGACATATAAAAGTCGTAGCTTATACATATCAATATGTTGGTACAGAAAAGTCCGTTTCGTAACGTAGGAATAGATTGTCTTTTATTGACATGTTAGATACCGGTAAAGCACATGTCAGTATGATGTACGAGGGTGGAAGTCAATCCTAATTGACGCGCGGACAAATTCTGTTTATCCATGATGTACGTGTATATTTACAGTTTGGATGAGTAAAGCTTACTCAAATAGCAGTCCGACCTCACGGGCATTGAATGCGCACTAGCGGACATCCTCAAATTCTACAAGTCATAGTCATAAGATCCACACGCCAGGCGTTGACGTGAGTCAGCACTGTGTGACAGTACACTATGCCCCTTCTGTGAGGGGGATAGGATACCGACCGTCAACTCAGTCAACAGGCACGGATTGGCGGAAGTTACGCCCCGCTTCATAGCACAGAAATGTCAAAATAAATCGTTATAGACCTTATAGTTTCTTCCATACTTTTTCTACATTGTGGATCAAGTCTTTAGGGATAAACCGATGTGACATCTTCGGTACTTCTGGCTGGAAGATACAGAAGATGAATAGCAAAGTTCTTTGATCACAACCATTTATTTATTTTTTGTTTCTTATTCCTACGAGCAGACGTTTTGATGACCGTCTGTCATCTTCATCAGGGCAATTCTGACTGGTTTACTGTGCACTGACGCTAGATGTTACTTTGTGCATAGTGCACTAAAGATGTTTGATAGTTCAGGCAGATTCCTTTCATCGCGCTGGTGGACATTCATCATGCATGTCCTGAGGTATAGGGTTAAAGATGGAGGAAGTCATGGTGGAATTATGGATAGTCAGGAGGAAGAGCGTCAAACTACAACAAGTATTTGCATTTTGGGGCAAAGGAAACGAGTTTTCTAGTGATGTTCTAATGTGTCTCTGCCTCATTAGCCGATAAAAGCTAATACGTGTTTACACTGTTTGTTTGTTCGTTTGATTATTTTTCAGACTTTTCGGCCAGAAGATGAAAACGTTTTTCTAGAGAATAGTAGGGTTTACGGATACTCACAACGCCATGCCTTGACAGGGAAGTTACGGCGTGCAGAATTGTGTGCTCTTGTAATGAGATGCAATTAAATCTCTACTATAGACTCCACGCATCAATCTTTATGGGGTCGTGTGGCGTAGCGGCAGAGTACTCGACTCGGAACACAGAGGCCTAGGTCCCGGGCTCGAGGGTCCTGACATGCCACCGATCTTGTGCTCTTGGGAAAGGCACTTCACACGACTTTGAGCATTGTCCTGTCCTGTATTTGTCCTCTGCGTTGGTGACGGTATAAAATAAGCTGATATAACTTGATTGTGCCGTTACCATGTACAGTCATGAAATGTTGGAATGAAAAAATCTTTATATGGAACAAAACCTTCATCCACGTGCGAAACGACACGTTCGGCTTGAGTTGAACCCGGTGTAGGCGTGACTCATGTCACGTCTTCCCCGCTTTTCCCCGGAAGTTTGTGTCAGCTAGGCCGGGTTTAAAACTCGCTTTCCTCCTTGATGGCTTTATTGCAGGAAGCAAGGCGTTGGCAGCGGCAAAGCACCCTGTCAGGCCTGAGTACCCATGCCAGCTAGCTGGTGCTGTATCAATGGTTTATTTGCGTTAAAAACACAACAACACTGTCCAAAAAATGTCAGCCAGAGGCTGAATTGACATCGGGACATTACATAAACAGCAAACAGTATAAAACGTCATATTAAACAATTTAAAATAGTAATAAACCATTAGATTAAATGTATATAAAAATATTGTCAGTAAACGTTTAAAAGTGCAAATAACATTTAAGATGTACTCTCCAAGCAGAGGTTTACGCTAGGCTCATTGTTGACGTGCGCCTTTTTTATGGGTTTTTATCGGGCTTCCTTTTTTTATGTAACCCATGCCAGCATCTTTATTTCTTTCAGCCAAACTACGGTCGTGTATTAATATAAATAGTAGTAGTAGTAGGCATTCGTCGGTCTTACAAGACCATGAAGTACTTCATCTACACTATGTACTTATTCTTAGTTTTTTTGCGCTTAAAGCGTCTCAGTTCTGATGCGAGTCTCTCGTCCCCCCCCCCCCCCCGATGTAAGCCCTTCTTAACTTCCTGTCTCCAAAGTGTTTGTTTCTATGTAATGTAAATACTACCCTACCAATTTGATATTATCTTCCCAATTTTATATTGCCTTGTAGCCAACATAGTATCTGCTTTGAGGTGCCGTACGCTCGTCTCTCTATCTACAGCTTGCCCAGGCAGAACGGGCCTTTACATCAGTCTGATTCAAGTTGTAATACCAGGCTAAAGCTTTGGTCTCTTCATCATTTATGGGGCCTTGCACATGGGCTCTTCTTAATGGATAGACTTTATCTTTGGTCTTCTGTTCACATGAACAATCCCCCTCACCCGTCATGTTTGAATGGCATCTTTGATGGTATGTTTTTATCCCAAGTTTGCAACATTAAACTCATGCACATCTGCTGTAACCAAGATCAGCTTAGGTTGCAACTTGCGGCCTGTAACCTCCTCTGCCCGTTAGTAACAGAGTTGGAGAAACTTGGAGGAAACAGTCGATTCAATGACATGTAAATCATCATTACAAAAAACAGTTACTCGAGCAACTAGATATCATTTTGGGAAAGGCCAGACGTTTCAGGTAGCATCCACTAACTTTCGTCAGTGACACTGGCGTATCTTATTACCTGGATGTCTAAACTTCACTGAGAAATAAACCATGGAATTACATAAAAGAAACCCGTATTCTTTGGTTCTGGGAATTTCCGGCTTAACTATTCCGAGAAAGTTAAGTCGTTGGATGACTTTGGAGGATAAGGAAGCTCCTAGTTATCATGCTTGAGGGATCCGAAGAAAATACTTCATAGAATCAAAAGATTAATGTCATCTCCATAAGACATTTATCTGTATCTTTCGTCAATCCTTATTTCTTGGAAGACCTTGGAATCAAACAGCAATAGCCTTACTCTTACAGTTCCGTGGATCAGTGGCCTCTTTAATTCAAAGGCTGCCTTTCTCGTCTTTAAGGTTGTCTTTGAAAGATTTCCGAGAGGATAACAGCTTCTTACTTCGGCCATTACCTGCTGTCTCAGAGATGAGTAAATGATCAGCAGTAAGGCCATGTGTGCGATCTGCAGAGATCAAGTTGCATTAAAGGGGCATTATGTAAGTTTTTGGCAATATAAAAAGTATTTTCCAGTCTTTTCCTCACGTGTACATAGTAAGTTGACTTAGCCTTTAAGTATTCCAGAACAATATTCAGGAATAGAAAATGTGAAGTTATGATGTAAATGTATTGAAAAGTGATTGTAACTGTTGATAACAATGAGATTTAGTATAATCAGAACATTTTAAATTTT